TTGTGTGTCTTTAGACGGTGCTCAGCTGCCTTTTTTCCGTTCATGTCTGTGCTTTTTGAACTGTGCACAGTGTAAGAACGAGAAGAGCTCCATCTAAAAATGACATGGCTTTACACAGAAGTTTAGGTCAGAGGGTCATTAGTGTTTGGCCTGCTAACGTCTTAGACTGGCATTTTTACAGTGGAATGTGCATAAGATTGTGATGTATTTGGATTTATGCCCTGATGCCTCTTTTCCATAACTGCTCCCCCTAGTGGTTAACTTCCTCTTCACGTGTCCAGACATAGGGTTGTCGCAGGCAGACAGAGAGGCCAGCCTGGAGCTCATCAAGCTGGACATCTCTAGAACATTTCCCAACTTGTGCATTTTCCAGCAGGTGAGGGAGGGCCAAGGTTCTGTGCCTCACGGGGGTGGGGGGGGGCATGTATCCAGTGTTAAGGCACCTCTTCCAGACAGCCATGACGAGTCCAGATCAGCAGGGGATGAATTAGGTGCATTTCTGCTCACTCCTCTTTGTTGTCATGCATACTGAGTGTGTCCTCAGTCATCTTTGTGAGGGGTCAGCCTTTGTTAGAAGGGGGCATCTGCAATGCAGAGGTCTGACGCCTTCTTGGTGTGTGTTTGCTTCAACAGGGGGGGCCGTACTACGACGTGCTGCACAGCATACTGGGGGCGTACACCTGCTACCGGCCGGATGTGGGATATGTAAGATCATATTTATTTTCAGGTTATCTGTCATGTAGTTACTCTTGCCATCGGATGCAAAAGCGTAGAGGTGTAATTTGCTTAGACTGGTGATTATTAGTCATGTGCAAACATAGCTGATGCATAATTCCATCAGTGTAGGAGTGCTGCTGAGTTACCCATCACTGCCATACTGACAATCTGCTGACGCTGTCTGAAAAAAAAGAATTCCTCCAGATACGGAGGCCTGGTTTTGATTGTGCCTGATAAGGTGCTTTTTTTTGAAAATGCGACGGCTGTGGTCAGTGGTTTAGCAAGAGCTCCGCAGTGCTAAGAAAAGCCCCTGCCTTTTTCCACTGCAGAAACCGCAGCCCCCTTCACTGACCACCTTTTTTTCATGTTTTTTTTTTTTTTGGGCTTTTTTTTTTTCTCCTTCCTGTTTTCTTGGTACAGAACGTCACGTGACACTGTGTTCCCGTCTGCTTCTTGTACACTCTTCGAGCTACTGTTCTTACTCTCAGATTTCTCCTTATGGGTGTTGTTATGAGTAAGGGGGAAAATTTAAGTTGCGAATGGTCATGAAATGCTCCTTTTACCAGAGGTGCTTTCATTTCAGTCCAGTATGTGCTGATGGCCCCACCTTTCAGGGCTGGTAAGCACATGCTGGGTCGACAAGCGTGAACATCCTTTTCCTAGTGTCATAGTAAACCTGAAGTGGCTAACAAGTGACTGAAGGCCGTTTTGAATATTGCATATTTGCAATATTGAATAATTATATAAATATATATACAAAGACACACATACAATATATCTTGCTATAATGCCCACTAGTGCCCCCCGAATGGCTGCCATCTTCATTTAGATTTTGCAGCTTTGCATAGTTTGTGAAGTGAATGTTTGTGTAAAGCAGGGGTCTTGGACCTTATTTACCGTGAGAACTGTTACAGAGAAAACAATCAGGGCAGCTACGTATTCGATACAAGATAATATCAGCTGGGGGGCGATGAAACTTGCCCATTTTAATTCTCTCATGTTCGTGTTGCAGCACACCCTGACAGCGTGGCACTTATCATGCAAGACAGTGAAACTCCCTGTAGTACCCCAATGTGTATAATTAAAAAAAAAAACATTAATATAGTTGCGTTTTTGAGTGTTGAACGCTACTCATTTGACTCGCACTAGTGTAAGGTCTTTCTGGATGCGGTCACACTTGATCTAGATGCCTTCATCCCCTCACACCCTTGCCGAATCGTGCAGGGATTGGGTTTTAGTTGAAGCTGGTCACAGGTCTGAGATGGGACTTTCCATGTGGCGCCCCCTGCAGGTACAGGGCATGTCCTTCATCGCGGCAGTGCTGATCCTGAACCTGGATACAGCGGACGCCTTCATCGCATTTGCAAACCTTCTGAACAAGCCCTGTCAGATGGCCTTCTTCAGGGTGGACCACAGCCTTGTGAGTGGCACCTCTTGAACTTGCCCTGCTGTACAGAAGACTCATAAACTTTGGTACCTGAATTCCTGCCCATCTTCTGTCCAGCGAGCTTTTCTTTGGACTCCTGTAACATTCCAGTGTTGTAATTTAGCCTTTTGTCATTTTCCTATGAATCTTTGGGGCTTTATCAAGCGTCCTACATTAATAATGTCTCCTTGGGTCGACCTCTGCCCGCCCTCTACAAAGGGGCTACACGGCTGATTAGTAGGTCCGATGGTGTCATGACACAGATGTGGACTGAGACCATGCCGCCTCTTTCTTTCCAGATGTTAACCTATTTTGCAGCATTTGAAGTGTTCTTTGAAGAAAACCTACCAAAGCTTTTTGCACATTTCAAGAGCAACAACTTAACTCCGGATATATATTTAATTGACTGGTACGTTACGTTATCTGTGTGTCACTCTCTCCACCTTGGCCGTTCATCTTCTGTCTGTCTTTCTCTGGCTGCGATGTGTATATCTTTGTCCTGAATTCCCCACTCTTTGTGACAGTACTCAGCTGTGGACACTGAAATAGTTAATTGGTTGTTTATGCTCTGATGAAACAGGGCAACAGCAACCAGCAAAGTTTCACTTAATTAAATAATCTCTGCTGTTTCTCTCAATGGATATGTACATCAAGCTCATTTATACCACCATACAAAGCCAAAACACATTGTAACTACACATTTTATCAAAACTGAGTTGTGACCGAAATCCGGTTTCTTAAGGTTTGTTTTATCTCCAGATAAAATATGTGCTTGGTTTTGAAGAAAAGAGTTTGCAAATTATGATGACCACAAAATCCACACTAAAAACTTTTTCTTAGTTTCAGTGTAAGCGTCATAATTTTCTTTATAGGGCAGTATTGTTTTTTTGTATGCAGTGCAATACTTGCATCCATCCTTTAATCTATTGCCGATTAAATAACCCTGAGATTGTTTAATTACAGGCCTTTTGTAATTTGCCTGGTTATTCAGCTGTTGAGCCATTTCGGTGCCCTTTGTGTCGTCCTGTATTTGGCTCTCATAGTGACCAGGCTCTGTCTCTGTTCAGGATCTTTACCCTGTACAGTAAGTCCCTCCCCCTGGACCTCGCGTGTCGCGTGTGGGACGTGTTCTGCCGAGATGGAGACGAGTTCCTGTTCCGTACGGCGCTGGGCGTCCTCAGGCTTTACGAGGACATCCTGACCAGGATGGACTTCATCCACAACGCTCAGTTCCTCACACGGCTCCCCGAGGACATCTCGGGCGAGGAGCTTTTCTGCTCCATCAGCAGCATCCAAATGCAAAGCAAGAATAAGAAGTGGGCCCAGGTGAGAGGTCGAAGGTCGAAGGTCGAGCGCCCTGCCAGCAAACTTAAGATTCAGGAATGTTATCAGCATGTATCTTTTTGAGGGTGGGAGGGTTGGGGGGTGGGGGGGGGCAGTAAGTTCGTTAGAGACGTGTAATGCGATTCTATCAGACTGATGTACCGATAATGATTACACAACTGCAGAAATTACTCAGTACATAACTGCAGCTTGCTGTTGTGCATCGTGCTAATTATCGTGTTCTGTCTGGTCCGTCCAACCCCAGGTTCTCCAAGCACTGCAGAAGGAACAGGAGAGAGGCAGCCCCGTCTTAAAGCGCTGAGTGTATAGACGTCTCAAAGCATCATAATCTTTATTTTAGAAATTGTTACTGGATTTTTGTTTCCCCCTATTTTTGAAGAAGCCGTTTGTAAGAGCCGTCCACAGACATCTTGACTGCTTTCAGAACCTAAGATTTAGTCTGGCTGCAGAGAGTGTGAGGTTGCAGGGCTTGTAGAGAGTCTAAGGACCAAAGCCTTAAAACCTGGAACCTCCAGTTTACTGGCCCAGCAGCTAATCGAAAGGGGCGTCTCGAGTGTAAACGGCCCTCATCTCTAACCAGGTCTCACTCTGGGAGTGAGGTAGACAAAGAGGCCCTTCCTCCTTTGGGTGTGTCTTACGCTGCTATTGGCGATGCTGTGCTGTCTTGGGTTGGTCTCCTGTGACTGTAGGGTTCTGTGTGTGTTTCTGACCTGCTGACCTGAGGAGTGGTGGCAAACCTCCACTAGCTTTGTAAGAAGATGATGTATGAAGATGTTTCCTCTAGGGGGAGCTGTTTGCTCTTGGAGGGGCTGCACTGGGCGCCCTCTGGTCGACTCTCCCCATCGTCCTTCATATGCGCTGCGAACTGAGGTCACATTTTATTTTTCGCCAGTTGACACTTGGAGTGGATGACTCAGACCTTAAATTTGCACATATAGGAAGCGTGGTGCAACCCCCCCATCTCCTACTCATTGTGTTTCTGTGTGCTGTCCCTGCCTTCAGTCATGTGACACAGACAGTCTTTCATCTTTTCATTTCTGTGTCTTACTGAATGGTTTGACGCTCAGCCCCCGTTCAGCCTTCGCCTTTCCTCTCTTTTACGTGTGGTGTACATTTCGGGTTGTACTGATGCACTACAGGAATGGATTTTACACAAAGTGAAGGATTCAGCTGTGTGTTTGACATCCCTGCTGTAAATGTACTTGTATATGTACTGCGGTGTGGTGCTGCTTATACGTGTTTCACTTGCATGTTACATGTTGCATGTCAGGCCGGAGACACTTTAACCCCGATTATATTCGACATCATTTCACTCAGTATGTCAGAAGAAAAGCATCATGTAAAGTTGTCCTGTGGTTTTTACTCTATTACTACTATTAAAATGCATTTATTTGTTCCATCTATTTACTTTTTACCTTTTTTCACCGACATTCAACATGAATAAGAATAATTGCTTTAATTTGCTAACCTCTGATTCAGGACCTTTTTTCCTGCTTTCCCTGAAATGTTACACTTAGGCTTGATCATCACAGAAATGTCAGATAATCCTCTCCTTGGGATTTGTTCTGTGCTCCTCTTCCACAGGAATCCAAATCTTCCATTCCAGTTGTTCTAGCTATTCTTGTTGTTCTCCTGCTCCCTCACTAAACCCAATTCCTGCACGTATCAGAAGGTCGTGAGTACAGTAGGTGACTTTTGTGGGTCCTTAGCCCTTGTCCTAAGAAGGGCTGGAATGGGCTCCCATGTACGAACAGCTGCAAGGTGGGCAATGTAACAGGCCATTTTATGGTGGTCTTATTTTTCCGGATGGCTGCAGGCCCATGTGCCCCGAAATACTTTAGCACAGCCAGTACAAAGACCAAAGTAATCGATCCAGAGCATAAGATTTGCTGTGGCTCTGACCTCTTCTCCATGTGCCCTGCGGCTGCCATTTTGTAAAGTTGGCACATGTGAGATTTGCTGTTGTGCAGTGTGCAGATGACATCGATACTGGCTGTTTTATACACCTTTCTTCCACTGGGTGTTTTTATTTACCTCTCTTCTGTTGCATGCTCCAGATCCCTGGATATCAGTGTGCGATGCTGAATCATTTCCATGCTGTGTTGGCACATGGGCTTAAACCAATTTGGTCTTGAGTTTTTATTTTTTTTTGCTGTTATCGTACCTTTTTGTTCGGCATGCAGTTTGACTTCTGACAGCTTTTCGCAGTCTTTGACTTCACTTTGCTTTTAATTTTTGAGTTCATGTAGAGTACAGAATAATACAGGCACCTTTTCTGTGAGCATATTTATTTAGCAGATGTGTGGACAGATATCAGACTTCCTGTTTGTGTCTTTTGTTATCACTGTTGATTTTGGTTGAGTCATGCATCGAGTTGCACAATACATGTTGCATTAAGCTGAATGCACTGGACCTGCACTGAGGACCATACTACCCTGAAATGCTGTGACTGGAGTTTGACTCACTGGGATGTATCCAGTGGTCTACATTCCGTGATTTGTTTTTCAGAAAAATAGTGGGTCAGAAATGCATGGGTTATATTCATCTCCTTAATTTCCAGTAAATTGTTTAGTGGCCTTTGCTTCCCTTATGAGTTACAGGGATCCAATGACTATTGCTTTCCAGGGAGGGAACTATCTTAGCACTTTCCTGTCCAATCAGTGCATTTGCATTCCGGTCATCTGACAATCTGGAAATGTCTTTGTCCAATCAGAGCTTGAATCTTGGTCACTGTCTACTGGTATAACTATCCTGTTGTAATTCCTAAATTTTTAGATACCTGACAGGTTGTCTGTCATGTTTTGTTTTTGTTTAATGTTACTTTTGTGTGAATAAATTAAATTATGTAGTTTCTATGTGAGCTTTTTGTCTAAGCACTGCCCCCCAAAATTGGCCTCTGCTGGTTTCTGTATGTTGTTCATGTGGAGCACAGACATCACCTCATGAAGGTGCTCCTTATATATATTACCTGCTGCTGGGTTTGTCTGAGAAAGCAGCTGCTCCTTATGTTATGGGTCAGATGAGTTTGGTGATGAAAGAAGCATCAATGTAGTAAACACTAGGATGTTTATTTGATTTTGTTTGTTTTTTGTGTCGTGCCTCTGTGTTCTGCACCCTTTTGGGTTGTGTATGATTATGCTGTTTCCAAGGGACCCGGTACAGTTAATGTTGGAGTCTTTGGGATTGTAAAATATGCCGGTAGATGTGTAAATACTGTTTTATTAAATAAAGCCCTGTAAATATACAGCTAACTGAACTGCCTCTGAGTGCTTAATCTTTCCATCACATACACTATGTTGCCAAAATGTATTGGGACACTTACCTTTACACATACGTAAGCTTTAATGACATCCCGTTCTTAATACATAGGCTTTAATATGGAGTTGGCCCATCCTTTGCAGCTATAACAGCTTCAGCTCTTCTGGGAAGGCTGTCCACAAGGTTTAGGATTGTGTTTATGGGAATTTTTGACCATTCTTCCAGGAGAGCATTTGCGAGGTCAGGCACTGATGTTGGATGAGAAGGCCTGGCTCACAGTCTCCACTCTAATTCATCCCAAAGGTGTTCTATCGGGTTGAGGTCAGGGCTCTGTGCAGGCCAGTCAAGTTCCTCCACTCCAGACTCGCTCACCCATGTCCTTATGGACCTTGCTTTGTGCACTGGTGTGCAGTCATATTGGAATAGGAAGGGGCCGTCACCAAACTGTTCCCACAAAGTAGGGAGCATGAAATTGTCCAAAATGGCTTTAAATGCTGCAGCATTGAGTTCCTTTCAGTGGAACTAAGATCTGCCAATGTAGAGCCACTGATTTTCTTATACTTTTGGTATTGGTCTTAGTTATATGCATGAGGGAGAAGTTTAACCCAATTGTGAAATGGGGGAAAAAAATTAACCTGTTGATGTGTGTAAATATGTGTCAGTTGTTCTATGCAGTCAAGTGCCGTATAACAACATTTTTGTCCAAGATAATGGTCCTTTAAGATTATAATGGAGCTGAAAACCATTGCAGCATCGTATCACAATTCCTTAGTCACATGTTTGCAGTGATGCTAGTTTAAACAAACCTACTGTGGTGCCAGTCGTATAAAAGTATAGCACATTATGTACTGTACATAACTGATAACTAACTGGTTTATGTATTTACTGTACTTTATTTTATGGTACTCTACTTGCATTGAAATTTACTGTAAAACAGAATGCCGTGTTACGCTGTGTGTGTAAGTATACTCTGTGCACAGTGACAAAATTGCCTAATGATGCATTTCTCAGAACATATCCTAGTTATCCCAGCAATGCATAACTGTACCTAAATAGACAATGCACAGGGATCCTACACAGAAAGGAAAAGTATGAAATTTGATTTTGCTGTTTTCCAAGTCTGGATAAGTATGGAAAAGGAAAGTATGGAAATATTTTGGTATTTTCTGACTTGCAACAAATTGGCCTGCTATGTATTTTAAACCTGGTTACCAGGGCACACATTGAAGAGTAACATCCTGAATAAAAGAACTGGGGGTGTGTCTGTTGGGGCATGTTTGATAATCTCCACCAAGAAGTATTGCTGTAGGCTACCTTGCAATTTACAGCAGTCACAAAGGGGAAATGCAAGTTTTCACCTGCTTGGTTTTCCAATCCTAAATATTGTAAGTAGTTAGATATGGATTTCAAGTGTGAATGGAAGTCCAAATGCAAACTATGTGTAGAATAGTTTGGTGTTTCGAATATGGGCGAGTTGACCCCATGGTGAGCAGAAGGTCTATGCTCTAGTTGCAACCAGTGGAGCATCCTGGCGAGATGGGCGATTTCTCAGGGTGATACCTTTCGAGGGGCGTCAACTTAGCAAACCGCCTGTGTTCACTTGCACCCTGTGCACAATGTGGATGTATGAAATATATAAAATTGAAAGTGCGTAGGATATACCCTGAGTGTATATAATTGTATTTCCCGGACGCATATTTTTGAGGCCAGTCTGCCACTGTCACAGATGCTTTGCTTGATAAGAAGATGACACACAAACTATTTCACAGATTTTTTTTTTTTTTTTTTTTTGCAAACTTGTTCAAAACTTGTTCAGCATTATATGGCTGGTGAACTGAATCTAATTGCATCTTCAGATAGAATGGCCCAAAACTGAAGCAACACCAGTTAGTGGCAGCAAAGAGAAAGGTGGGAGGTGGGACAAAATGGCCTTCAGAGAGCCCATGGGTGTCACCAGTGGTCATGGATGCCTTAGAACGGGGGTAAGTAGCATTTTGCGTTGACTTCAGGCAACAAAATGACATTTACCTCCTCCCCCAGTTAGTTGAGTGCCTGGTAGCCATTTCATCCTAGTTGGATCAGAGGAGTGAGTACAGGCAGGTCCCACTGTCACCAGAGGCAAGATGAAAAACTATTTTTTGTACAGGAATGGACCTCTGGCAGTATATGGTCATGGCTTTTGGTCTTTGCAATGCTCCTGCCATTTTTCTGCATCTGATGGAGAGCGTTCTAGTGAGTGTCTAATTACTAGATGATGGGGGACTCTTTCCAAAGGCCAGTCTACTTGCTGTGGCTGATGCTGGGGAGGGTAGGAGTGACAGGACTGAAATTATTCCCAACACAGTTTCCTGTTTTTGGAGTTCACATTCTTCGGTCATCAAAGTGACTGAAGGCTTTGGGTCTGTGGAGGGCAAGTGGCCCAGTTCTGTGGTTCTGAGATAACTGAAAAGCTTTCTGGGCCTTACTTCTTAGTATAGGAAGTTCATAAGGGAGTTTGTGCACATTGCAGCTCATTGCAAAAGGGCCAAGATTCAGCTGTTCACAGGACTGCCACATTGCTTTCTGCACCCTCCAAAAGACTCTCACCTACACCCTCCAAAAGACTCTCACCTACACCCTCCAAAAGACTCTCACCTACACCCTCCAAAAGGCTCTCACCTACACCCTCCAAAAGACTCTCACCTACACCCTCCAAAAGGCTCTCACCTACACCCTCCAAAAGACTCTCACCTACACCCCAGTACTTGTACCTCCTGACCTCCAATTACCTTTCCTGCTGGACAGTGATACAATTGGTGGGGGGGCAGCCCTCTCTCAGGTGTGGCTAGAAGGGGAGAATGCTGTGGCTGCTGTCGATCAAGGTGTCAGAAGGTCAGGTGACATGGCGGCTTGAGTAATTATAATCCTATGAGTTCACTGTGATCCATCGTGCAGGAGAACAAACCAGTAATGCAGACTCGCTTTCATGGTGACTGAGGAGCAGGCATGTTGATTGCCATACATTGGAAAGCTGGGAATTCTGGGATGTAAGTGTGGCAGGTAGGTAAACCTAACAGGAAGCAGACCCCCTGAGTACAACCATTAATGAATACTACTACAGGCTGGCTTTTGCAAGAGAGGCCGATACTAGGGACCAGATCACCAACCTGAGACGGCTTATGGAGAAGCCACAAGAATATCAGAAAGACCTCTATGTGTGTTTCATCGATTACACTAAGGGCTTCGACTGATTTGAACACAAAAAGCTGTGGACCTACCTCCTAGAAATGGGAGTGCTTGCTCATCATGTCCAGATCATATCGCTTTACCAGGACCAGGATGCCACAGGTGAGAACTGCGTATGATGATACGGAGCTCAAGATGGAAAGGAACAAGACAAGGCTGCATTCTATCACCACTACTCTTCAATCCGTATGCAGAAGCAGTCATAAGAAAATCAGTTCCAGAAGAGTGGAAAATTGGTGGCAAGAATATCAACAATCTTAGGCTGACGACGCCGCACTGCTGGCCAAAAGCAGAGAACATCTGGAACAACTCATTCTGAAAGTGTAAGAAGAAAGGGAGAAGGTGGGGTTACACCTGAGTGTCAAGAAAACAAAGGTGATGACGACCTCCGAAAACATAAAGTACAGCCTAAACAACGATGAATGCGAGAAAGTCCAGGACTTCATATTCCTTGGTTCCAAGATTGATTAAAATGGGGACACAACACCTGAAATCAAGAGATGATTAGCCCTGGGATGGAATGCAATGTTGGCACGAATGCCGTCTGGAAAAGTAAAGATATTTCCCAGTGGTTGCGCTCCAAAACATATTGTGGGAGTACGGTGAAAGGAGTAACAGTCTCTTTAGGGTGAGGGATACTAGCCAGGTGACTGAGAGAAGTATGCATGAGGGTGAGTGTGGCGGGACAAGAGAAGAGAATAAGATGTGTGAACAAATGAGTTGATTGTAGCTTGTCCTGTGTATATACTATAAATAAGACCCTTCAAATTTTTGTTCAGTGTTTTTATAGTGCAAAAAGAACATGTCGGTGTAATCATGCAATTAAGTATTTTGGGAAATGTGTGGATTAGATTTTGCACCGTCCTGTATATTTCACAGTCACCCTGTACTGAAAAAGATAATGCTGTGTTGGATTGTGAGATGCACATTGTCTGGTACTTTACCTGTACTACGAAGCGGGGTTACTGGCTTATCGGGGTAACTTGTTGGATTTAAGGTACCACAGCTTAAATAGACTAAATATGCGTTCACTTACATTTTACCCAGACTACCTTAAATCC